AACTATAACATGTGTAATACACTATAATCTATAACAATATTATAATTATAAGATTATATTAATATTTAATTATATTAATTATTATATTATTATAATTATAATTATATCAATATAATATAATGTAATAGTCTTATTGTAATATTATTAATATAATAAATATAATTATACCAATACAATTTTATTATATTATATTAGGAGTCTGAATTTTAGATTGGGAAGATTGTAAAGTTTAAATTTCATTAGGGGTATTATGGGTATTATGAAAGTTTCATTAATTGTAATATGTTGATTCCCGTACAATTTAAAAGCTAAAGTTGTCTTTAGGTGCTTCTGATTTTGGCTGTATATTCTTAAAAAATTCTTCAAAAAGCACTTTTGAGGAGATTTACCGAACACTAAAATTAACTTCTGCTACAAGTAAAAGCTGATTTTGGGAGAGAAAAGCAATACCAAACTAAGCCTTAGTCTTATGTATTTGTAGCTGTATTGTAATATTGGTAAAAAAGAATTGGTAATTAAAAAAGGATTGTTTTGTTGGACATATGCATAATGATTGGCATACTCTAATAATTATTGTTTACATGATGAGCGTATAACTGATAATTAGTTTAGTATTTTTTAATCCTTTTACTCTTCATGATCTTCTTATTTTCCATGTAGATAAAATAAAGTCTAAAATTTTGGTTACTATTGTATGAGATTTTGTTCTAAATAAGTATTTATAAGTAAGCATGGATAATAATTATTATTAAGTGTGTGTTATGTCTTTTCGTCCCGTGGTTAGATATGGACTATATATTTAAGCAAACATGTATATGCACATAAATAAGCAACTCATGTGATGATATATATATGTGTGTGTGTGTGTGTATTCTTTCTTCCAAGTGAAAATGCTCATCTTAGATGCTCGATGTCAAAAGAGAAGACTAGTACTTTCCTAAAATTATATATATGAGAAGACTAGTACTTTCCTAAGAGAGAGAGAGAGAGAGAGAGAGAGAGAGAGAGAGAGAGAGAGGATATTAGTGGCATTTTCTTTCATGGCAAACTAAAATTGGCTAGAACTTTCCGTTCCATGCATTAATAAATTTTCATGAATAGCATATAACGTATAGACAGATTTTTTTTTCTTTTCTTTTTTTTTTTTTTTGCCCCAAATAATTTTCTGTGGCATCAGAATCAGATACCTTAAAGTTAAAGGCAAGGTTGGAGTTTTGATCGAGCACAGACCACTTTGCTGACTAGGAATTGGCCGAAAAGTATGAACATTACAATATTACTTTTCCTAAAAGAATCGTATGATATTGAAATTAATAGAATAAAAGAAAAGAAATAGCAAAGCATCCAAAAGTGAACGAGAAAAGAGAGAAAGTTGGGAAATTGAATATGAGCTGAAACGAGAAAAAAAAAATTAAACAACAAAGAAATTCAAGAGATATGGCATATATGGCCATGGGAGTTGAGAAGGTTACATCAGAATCACATGAGAGAGAGAGAGAGAGATCAAATGGCAAGCAATTGCATTAGCTTCAGATATGGGGCTGAAAACAGAAAGGGAAACCCCAAAAGGATATTTGGAGGAATATCCAATGGCAGGAATGTTAGGACTACTCTTATCACATATTTGTGGCCACCCCAACTATCTTTTTATCTTCCTATATACACACACTTGCACACATGCGCGAAAATATATATCCTAGCTTCAACTTTGTCTCAATTCATCCCTTTGTTTTTGTAACTACAAAATTTTTCTTTAAATTTAAGAAATATGATTCAATGTAATTTTCACACTTTATTTTTATTGTTGAAAAGAAGAAATTATGAAGAAACATAACACCTTTAAGTAAGAATGCGAATGAGAATCTTCTCACATACCTATGTTGAGTAATTGATCATACAAGAATTACAATTTTTACATTCTCAGAAAAGTAAATGATCACATGAGATTTATTTTACCTCAATTGGGTAATCTGAACGTCACCCAATATATGGTGTAAATATTTAAATGCATGAGAATTTTTAGAGTGTAGGCGATTTGTTCAAAAATCAGCTAACCACCAAACCATCGCAACCCACCACCCAAACACTGACCCTTGCTCACCCCTAGCGTCGCAGCCACCACCCCATGTCAGACGGGCCCATCTCAGCCACAACAACGTATTTGAAAAAAAAAAAAAAAAAAGTAGTGTACTTATTTGAAAAAGAAAGGAGATATAAGTTAGCGCCTATATATATTGCTTTCTGAGAGAGAACATAACAATTTTCATGAGTTATTTTTCGAAATATTTTCTTAAAATTTTGTCCTTATAACTCATTAGATATCACGATACATATTGTATCAATTTTGAATGCTGCATTAAATAATATGATGTCGTAATGTTGTCAAACACCACCTTTTAGAGAAATTATATATACATGTGCGTGTGTTATATAATCATTAATCTTCTTCTCCTGTATCAGAGACTCTCCACTAGGTAGCTAACTAGTCTTATAATCTTCTTGCTCTTCATCTAGTGCTTCCCAGTCCTTGTGATCACAAGTAAATTACCAAATTCGTTTGCATCTTCCTCATATAGAAGGTGGATTCCGCACTTGTTTATTCTCCGAGTAACATTTCAAGTTTTGTTTTCTGGATACAATGAGAACTCAAATGCGACTTTGGTGATCTTTTCTCGATCGTACAATCACCCAATCCTCTTTAAATATGGTTGCATAATCGAACTCATCATAAGAATAATTAAAACCCCATCACAACTTGCAGCCATTTTCCATTATAAAAACTCATCATAAGAATAATTAAAACCCCATCACAACTTGCAGCCATTTTCCATTATAAAGTGTGGTTTACACAGAAGCTCAACTTGCATCACAACTTGCAGCCATTTTCCATTATAAAAACTCATCATAAGAATAATTAAAACCTGAACCGGCCCAGTATCATATTAGAATAAAGGATCCAAGTAATGAAGTTCAACAAGATATCAACAGAAGCACATACATCGAAACCCAAAAAGCTGCGATTAGTTAGTGTATTTGGAGAAAGCTCGATCTCCACGTTCGTCTTTCCATCTCTTCTCGTTTGAGTAAATTGATAGTGGAACCACTCTGGGATTTCGATCCCCAAACAACAAACACCAATTATATTACCATCTTCAAGTATTTGAAGTCCCTGCATGCATTGATGCATGCACATGAAACCA